CTCCCGTAAGGTGGAGGTAAGTTGTGCCTGGCGTAGGCCCTATCCTGTCGTAGGGGCTCGCAAGAGGTATGGCTGGTGCACTCGGCCGGAGCGGCTTGCGGAAGCTCCATGTATAATTGCGACAAAGGATTAATATCCAACTCTTGCGTGACGCGGCCGGGAGGGTCCCGCGCTGCCACGTGCGGTGCCAGACCGATGCGCCCGACACCGGGATTACACAAGAACAGGAAAGAGAAGGAACGGGATTGCCTACAATCGGCACGTCTGGGCCTCGACGTGGGGGACTTGGCCACTCTCGACATATCGATCCGGGCATGCATAGCATCGGCCGGCGCCTGCATGCATTCAGCAAGGACTCAGCAGAAAACACCTGTCGATCAAGAAGAGAAGGAAAACAGTTGAAAAACAGGGATTGAGGCGCAACGAGAAAAGAGAGCGCGGCAGTGCTCGCGCAAGCAGGAAGCCTCGTGCAGTTGTTGCCATAGCCAGCCAGAACACAACGTGCCTAAACTTCTATTCTAATTAAAGTCCTAGTTCCAAGAAAATTCCAATCAAAATTCCAATTACCCGCGCGGTTTGTCTGTGTGATCTCCCAGAATTCGAAATTCAAAAAGCTTGCCCTGCACGATGATCACGCCAAAAAGTCCCTGCCCCGAGTTCCCAGCAAAAAGGAGAGGGCCACATCATCATCTTTCTCGCGCTCGCTAAGGTGCATCCTAATTGCCGACAGTTGCATGATTGAGGCCAAGTTTTACAAAAACGAAAAAGGAAAAATATGGAGCACCGGTGCAAATAGCCCTCTCAATCATACATAGGCCTCTCGTACCTCTGCAAGTGTTGGGAAATTACATTGGTCTGTCCCCGAAGAAATCGGTGGTGGGACCCAGGGTCGGCGAGTCCCATAAATCTTAGTTTTTTTTTGCCCGCGCATGGAAGGAAAAGGAAAAAAAAAAAAAAAACTTCTGTACTGCAATGATGTCGGGCAGGGTAGTCTAGGAGGCCGTGCTCACAGTCTTCCTCTACAGAATGCATCCTACAACAAAGACGGTCACATTTGAAACTTGTTGTTTTCTTTTTTTTATTTGTCGTTTGTTTGTTATGAGTCCCCTGCCAACGAGGCAGGGCGGAATCCGTGATGTGCGCTGGCTGTGTTTCCTCAGAGGATTGTAACCCTGATGTATCCA